TCTACCCAGGAATTATATAAAATTTACTTCATATGTGTTGTAAGATGACAGAAGGGACGCTATAGCTAGAAAAATAATATATATATATAGTAATGCAAAAATAATAACATTGCAGTAAAAAGGAAAGCAATAATTAATAATAATGATAATAATAATAAAAATAATAAGTAGAAGAAGAAAATGGTGGTAATAATGATGTACCTTGCTAAGTCACAGTCATGTGGTTGCCATCTGTATTGGGTGTAAAAATGGTCTGGGCGGCCATTCTTTTGGCAGCTGAACTCTCGCTCGATGAAGGGGCAGGACGACGGATTGTAGATTGGGTAGTTTTCGTCCAAAACCCATCTCCCTGTGAACAAATCACATGATGCCTCTTCACTTGCACCACCATTATTAGGAACAAAACCAACGATAAGCAACAGGCCTAATATTCTAGCAACACAAAAACTGTTATGAACCCAGGAACCCATTCAGTCTTTGAGAGAGAGAGAGAGAGAGAGAGAGAGAGATGTTTAAGAGAAATAATGGCAATGGAATGGGACTACAAACTATTCTCCCTTTCTTTCTCTCTCCGATATTTATAAGTCTCCTTATCCATGTGATGTGAGAGAGAGGATATGGAAAGTTGGCAATTTGCTTTTCCTTTTTTTATATTTTGTTTTAATAGGGTAAGTAACCCATTAAAAGTGTTATTATACAATCATCAAGGAAAATCTTGTTTTACCTTCTCTCAATACCTTACTCAGAAAAATAAAACATATTCCAATTTACTCTTTGCGTCTCGTTTCACTTTTAATTTACTTTCCGCACAAGTCTTTTCTAGTGTTCTTTACATATAGATCCCGTTTGGTTCGCATAAAAGGTTTGATGGGAAATAATTTCTCATGTCAGGCAACCATTCCCATACCTGAATTTACCAAACATGATAAAGCAATTGATTTCTCATTCCCAAGTCTCCTTTCCCATAAACCAAACGCAGCCATAATGGAAAGAAACACTGAAATCAGACATATATAGCTGCGTTTTTCTGTGATGTAATTGGGTTGTTAATGGAGAAGTAATTAGATTCCAAATATATTGATTAGAGCAATGGGAACTTTCCTGTTTCTTCCTTTTCTCCTTCCAATAAATACATAAACAAAATTAATCTCCCTTCTGAGAACTTTTCCATTCTATATATATAACTAATTTGGTGGTTATTCGCTTTTTCTTTATTGCCTTGACGAGCAAATTGGCTAATGTTTATGCCCTGTACGTTTTTCTCACTTTATTAAAGTTTAATCCTCTTGGTATATTATAAAAATAAAAATAATAAAAGAGTTATTTACACAAACACCCCTTGAGGTTTTCGGTGTTTTCACAAAACCCCTGAAGTTTCAAAAATTACACAAAAACCCCCTGAGGTTTCATACTGATGATTTCATTTCATTAAAAAAAAACTTATGCAAATGAAAAAAGTAACCTCAATGAATGCATGTGCAATCTAATTTCAACGGCTAACATTGTCATTTGGAGAAATTTTTTATATATAAAATCATCAATCTTTGGATGAAAAATCAACGAAAATGGGTTTTGTGAAAACAATATGAAAGCACTTTGGCAAACTGACACCTTCAATTGGCGAGATACCTAATGCCTCAATGAAAACCCGTTGGAAGCACTTTGTGGCCAGGAGCAAGCCGAACTCCGAGCGAGGATTAATCCCACCCTTTGGGTGTGGAGACACCTCGTGGTATTTACACCAAAAAAAAAAAGTGAAACCTCCTCATGGAGTTTTGTGAAAACACCGAAAACCTCATGGGTGTTAGTGTAAATAACTCAAAAAAAGAGTCCATATGAATTTGGTGAGAATAAATAATAGCTTCATCACCAAAACAAGGACCTAAGACAATGTGATTTTAAGAAGGTTAGATATCAAAGGATTCATGTTAGGGTGAGTATTAGCCAAGAAATTCCATCCATTGATATTTTTCGTAACATGGAAATAAGGTGTTTGATGGAGTATCTCACAGTTGATTGTAAGTTTTCCCTCACGAAAAAAAAGTTCATGGATCCGTCATATAAAAAGGGTCGTCTTTACTTAATAATAGATGACCCTTTTTATAAAAAAACAGTCGTCTTTACTTATAATAGACGACAGTTCTTTCAAAACAACCATGTCTTTACCAAAAAAAGGACACTTGATTTTTAAAAGACGACGCTTGTCATACCTGCTGTCGTTATTTTTTGGTCAGATTTTAACTCTGAAGAAAAGCTTTTTAATAAGACGACGCTTTTTTATTTGTGTGCGTCGTTATAAAAAAATTCTCAATAGTATCTCCATTTTTTAGTTGTTTAAGTCACTTATCCACGACGGTTTTTTATTACCATCGTCTTTTTAAAAACAACGACGGTTTTTTGTTCTACCGTCATCTTTTTCTGGTCGTCTTTTGCCCTTTTTGTAGTAGTGTCACTATGGTTACGTATGTAAATGATTCTACATGCACATATAGGTTGCACCATCTGCATTAATTGGGATCACAAATGACGTTCAAAACAAAAAAAATTAAGATCACAAATGGGTTGGAACTTGGATTTGGCTAATAGAATTAGTTCAATATATCCTTGTCTGGCCTTTACCAAAAGGGTTCAATTCTAAATTAGTTCACAAATGCCCCTTTTAGCATTATTGCCCTACTATTGGCTGTACAACTTAGAATTTAGAATTCTGAAGAGACGCAAAAAGTTACAGAAAAAGGCCTATTGTCCACTTGGGGTCGTTGGAGCATTGGAAAGGCTACCAAAGATGACTTCAGCGTATCTCCTTTAGCTGTCTAAGCCTAATCTGCTAGTTCATGCCTTCCACTCATATTGATATTGCATGACAAGTTCAAAGCCACATTGTTTTGTAGCAGAATGCTGATTTCCCACCATTCTCTTTCAAAAGTGTTCAAAAAATAATGCTCATTTGTGTTGTACACAATTCTAGAGAAGTTAAGAATTCAAAAGATGGAGATGGCAATGCAAGAATATTCTAGAACAAGCTAGCAGTGGCTGAATGCTCAAGGCGGTGGAACAAAAGCAATTGAAGTTTGAAGAACATTCTAGTACAAGACACATCTGTGGCTAAGAAATGAAGAAGCCCAAGTCGGTGGCTGTGTATGTCGGCAATCAAAGCCTATAAATAGGCATGGTTGTACTTATATAAGGTGGAGTCCAACGAAAAGAACTCCCAAACTATAAGGGAGCCAAGAGCTACCCAAACAAAGCTATGTTAGGGAGCCAATAAGCTCACTAATCTAAGTAAAGGGCCAAATAGCCCAAAACTAATCTAAACCAAGTGTGGTGGCCAATAACCCAATCGGAAAGGCTAGAATGAGGAGGTTGAGTGAGGAGGTTATTTGAGGAAGTGAAATCTCACCATCAACAACTAAAAACAAATGACATGGGGGGGGTGCATTGGGGGGTCCACACCCCTTTTGATGGTGAGATGGGCCTCCTCAAATAGGGGGGGTGCATTGGGGGTCCACACCCCTTTTGATGGTGAGATGGGCCTCCTCAAATAACCTCCTCACATAGTCTCCTCATTATAGAAGCTCCCATAAGCCAATAGCTATGAAGAAGGCCAATTAGCCTATACCAAGTCATGTACTATTCTTCTCCAATCTAATGAAATCACTTTGTTTCAACTATTGTCCTATTATTCTAAACCACTTCACCACATAAACCAACAACGGCATCAGAGCAACACACATCACACTTACTAAATACCAACAAAAAGATTTAATATACCAGCTTCTATGCTGTATCAAAGTTGATCCAAGGGATTCATAATTTAAAATTACCATGCTGTAGAAACATCTATATTATTCTTTCAGCTATCTTGCCAAACAAAAAATATATATGTGTGTGTATTTAGAGAGGGAGTAGAAATAATATATGAACATATATGTTTGAGAGTGAAGAAAGTTTGCTCAGTTTCTCTATTTTCTGTTGTCCCAGTAAGTTGAATCAAGCTTGACTGGATAGAGATCATGAGCAGAAGTAGACGAACCGGTCCAGGGCCCTTCAGTTGACGCAGTTTGTGTCTGGCTCTCGCCGGTGTTCCTTCCGAAACTGGATTGAAAATGTTTCCTCATTGCTTCGATCTCAAAACTTGAGGCATTTGGATCTGAGACCAATTCCTGAACAGCAGCCCTGCCTTCAAGCATGCTCACAACTGAAGACATGGTAGGCCTAACTGTTGAAGTGACATTGCAGCAGAGGAGAGCCACATTGATTGTAAGCATCATCTCTTCTTTGTTGAAGTCTGAGCCCAACCTTGGATCCACTAGGTCCATCAAATTCCCTTGCTCTTTCAGTAGATGTGCCTAAAGTTAAATACAGTGTAACATAATGTGCTGATGCATCCACAAATACATAATAGAGATAAACAGTACCAGATTAAATTTAAAAGCTAAATAAGGAAGCAATAGAATCATCTTACCCAATCAAGAAGATAAAGGCTTTCTTCCTTTGAACGGTAACTGGTGTTGTTCCTCCCACTAGCAATTTCCAATACAAGAATTCCAAAGCTATAAACATCTGCTTTGTCAGTCAGATAACCCCGCATTGCATATTCAGGCGCCATATATCCACTGCAAAAAATCGCTCATCATTTCCCCATATTTAGCTTAGCGAAATACTAAAAATACTACAAAGCTTCTTTAACAGTACAGATCTAGTTAAGTTTGAAACTTATAAAAGGTAGAGAAACCTCCATCTGTTTCCTATTTCTATGGACCCATCTTCGGGGAGGAAGAAATCAAAATAAAAGAATAAGAAGAAGAAAAAAAACCCGTCATCCGGGTGGAAGAAATCAAAATAAAAGTATAAGAAGAAAAAAAGTAGCAAAGGGACTCACTAAGTTCCAGCAATACGGGTACTAATGTGTGTATTATCCTCTTCATCAAGCTTGGCCAATCCAAAGTCAGATATCTTTGGGGTAAGATTTTTATCAAGCAGCACATTAGTAGCCTTGATGTCTCTATGAACGACCTTCAATCTTGATTCCTCGTGGAGGTAAGCCAAACCTCTAGCTATACCAACACAGATCTTGTGCCTTGTTGGCCAATCCAACTTCAACTGACTTTCTTCTGGCCCTTCAATTTGTCAAATTACTCAAAGTTAGTTATAAGGGACATTTTTTATGTACAAGATCTTTTATACACATCTGCATGAACCAAATGAAGTTTAGGCATACAAGAGTAATATTTACCAAACAAAGCACGAGCAAGGCTATTATTTTCCATGTACTCATAGACAAGCAATAGTTGATTTCCTTCAATACAGCATCCGTGAAGCTTGACAAGATGAGGGTGTTGCAGAGCAGAAATCATGCCTATCTCATTCACAAATTCACGATTCCCTTGCTTTGATTTGGAAGAAAGCTGCTTGACAGCAATTACGGTGCCATCTGATAGAAGGCCCTGCATTTGAGAAACAAAGTCAAAATCCCTTCACTAAAAAGCAGAGCAACTTTAATAACAATGCTTACAATTAGTCAAGTTAGCCCAACTGCAATAAATAAATAGAAATATTGGTTC